CCCCCACCTGTACCATGGGGCGGGGGGGCACTGGGTGTGAGTGGGGGGGGAGCCAGCAGGAGCACGGGGCCTGCACCGGTGTCCTGGGGCCAGTGCCAGCAGAGCCCAGAGCAGGGTCACAGGAGTGCAGAGTCCCAGCTGGCAGGGGCTCTGTGGAGCCAGGCCAGCTCCTCTCCCCACCAGTGCAGCCCAGCCCAGCTCCACAGACCCCTGCCAGCCTGCACCCCACTTTGGGCCCCACTGGTGCTGGCCCTGGGACATTGTTCCCAAGACATCGGTCCCAAGATGGTGACTAGGGGGCGGGGCACCTGTCAAGGGGTGGGGCACCTGTCAAGGGCCAGGGCTACCCATGTGGCCCTCGACAGCCTTCCAAAACTGGGTAAGCAACCCTCCACCCAAAATAATTGCCCACCCTGACCTAAAGTGATGCCACAGCCACCTTAGTGCAGGAGAGGGTTTGGGGCTGTAAATCTACATCTTGCACAAGGCAACCCAGAAAAAGGATGGGATTTCAAAAGGTATGCCTTTCTTTAGTGTTTCCTATTGGCTGGATTATGTAAAACACGCCAAAACATGCTGTAGGATGTTAATCCCAGTCCTAGATGCCCAGGTTTCCCTAGGACAAAATGGGTGACAAAGGGAACTGAAGGCTTGTAGATACCACTCCTGGGGTCAGAAGCCTAGAAGTTAAGCATAGCTAGGACATTTAGTCCTTTTTAATCTAATTAGATAGCAAAATAAGCAGGATGGTGGTGCACAGGGGAGTAAAATAAACTAAAATAAACTAGTCACAGCTAGCAGAGAAAACGCATATGAAAAATCTATGAATCTATTAATGAATCTATGAAAAGAATGCCTGAATGCTTGTGTGTACTTTATTTGCAAATTGTATTTTTGTTAAGATGTTGGTATTTCCTTTGAGCAGATGTTATCACATTGCCTAGTAAGTAATTATGAAAACCTCTTCCTCTTATGAAGTCAACTTAATGTACCACCTCCCAGAGGGCTTTTGTAGCTATTTAAATGCTATATTACCATTAAAGCATACTTAAAATTCATTTCATTACACAAACGCTGATTTAGTTTTGCTTCTGTTTTTTATGCAAACTCCATTCAGCTAAACATCTGATTTCATCATTATGTACATGCAAATGAAAATTATTTAATTTAATATGATTTTTTTACCTTAGCTATCAACGAATACTTCACAAAAGCCTTTATTGTGCTTGGTATATTGCTGTGCACACATTGTGCATGCAAGAACTGACCAACTTCTGTTCCACAGCTAGTGATTGCACAGCCCAAGACTCAAAAGCCCAAGACCTGTCTGGTTATGATTCTCCATCTCAGCTGAGAGACTCAACCATAAGAAGTTTTTAAAGCGGTTATTATAAAAGGATGGGTGAAAGAATAGTACATGCTAATTCATTATTTTCTTCCTATGCATTTTCTTGCTCTTATGTTGGATCAGGGGAGATTTACCTTTTAGTGTTCATTGATGCTTTCATCATCCACTTATTAGTGAGGGGATCAAACACTTCCATGCTGCCTAAATGCTCATTTCCATCGTGTCCACCTACTGCATATACTTTACCTGAAAAACATACAAGCATCCCAATTTAGTGGTTGCTTGCTAGACAATTCTGGTTGTCTCACATCCAATACCACTGCTTCTGCTGGAAATCATTGGTTCAAGCATACTTTCACAAAAAATACCACCACTTTTTCAGTAGTAAAAACAAGGTTGAAAAGTTAAAAGGTTTGTGTATTCCAGACAAGGTTGTGTATATATGATATCTTTTATTAGGACAACTAAATAGTTGGAAAGACTTATTTGCAAGCTTTCGGGCACAAACACCCTAACTCAGGCATTGGGAGACTCTGCTGCTGTTCTGAGGTCTCTAAGGTAGAAAAGAAGCTAGATTAAACAGATGTCTGTGAAGATGCAAATGAATGGAAGTTTGGAAAACAAAGGGTAGACACAGGAGAGGGTGTGGAAGGCAAGGGACGTGTGTGAAGGAATGCAGGTCATCAGCTAAAAGGCAAGTTACCTGGTGCGTTAGATGTCATGCAGGTTGTAATGCATTATAAATCCAATGTCTGTCCTGATTTTTCATATTCAGTAGAATTATGAAGTGAAGTTCGTAGGCTTGCCTACAAAAAGTGTTTTGTAAGTCACCTTTGAGGATTAGAACTGAGAGATCAGAGAGGGAGTGATTGCCTTGTGAGAAGTGTGCACCCACAGGTAGTTGGATATTTTTGTCTTTGATGGATTTTCCGCATTCTGGTAAGCAGTTATTGTTTGGTTTCCATCTGGGCATTTGGTGCACTGGATTAAATATATTACATTTCTGAAGGTGCAATCCAGTATCTCATACCCTTATCCAGAACATGAGAAATACCATGCTTGGTCAGACCAATGGTCCATCTAGCCCAGTAGCCCGTCTCCAACAGAGGCAGAAACAGATGCTATAGAGCAGGGGTGGGCAAGATCTGGCCCGCAGGCCCCTAAAAATTTAGAAAATTAATATTTATCTGCCCCTGGCTGCCTGTCATGCAGCCCTCGATGGCTTGCCAAAACTCAGTAAGTGGCCCTCTGCCCAAAATAATTGCCCATCCCTGCTATAGAGGAAGAGAATTGAGCTGGACAGTTTTATCTCCTACCCATTATCCTCCCTGGCACCCACCATTATTGGTTTAGAGATGCCAGAGGAAACACCTACAACTGTTCTGTTCAACAGATGTTAACAGATCTTTCATCCATGAATTTGTCTAGTCCCTCTTTAAAACTGGCAGTGCTACTGGCCTCTACCCACTACTAATTAACTAAGTTGCACAAAAACTTACTTTTAAGTTTTAAACCTATCTCCTCCTAATTTCAGTGGGTACTCACTAGGTTCCAGTATTCTGGGACTTGTTTAACAACAGCTCCCTTGTCACTTGGTCCACATTCTTCACAATTTTAGACCTCTATATCCTCCCTCATCCTACTCCTTTCCAAACTAGAGTCCTAACCATTTTAGTTTCTCCTGCTATGGAAACTGCTCCATCCCCCTGAACATTTTGGTTACCCTTTTCTGTACCATTTCTAATTCTACTACATCCTTTTGGAGATGCAGAAACCAGAACTGCATTCAGTATTCAAGATGTGGGTGCACAATGTATAATGGGGTTTGGTTTGGTTTTGTATTCCCTTACTGTAAAAGTTGTTAACATCTTTACTGAAGACTTTCTGATTTCAAATCAAAACAAACAAGTATAGTAGCATTTTTCTTTACACTTCAAATTTTAAACCATGTGAAAACCAGTTTTTTTGTTGGGGCTGCTACAGCAATCTACAGATATACCATCTGGGGAAAAGGCAAACTCAGTTGTGGTTATCTAGTCAAGTCACTTGAAACTAGTGACCACTCTTAGAAATTATGGCATGTATGACTTTCCCAGAGTAGCAAAAGAAGTCAACATCAGGACAAAGGAAGCTTGGCTTACAGTTCTGTACTCTTACCATGCTCTTGTTAACTAGCTTACTCTTCCAGCACATGAGGGCGTTAACTAGCCAACATGCTATATAAAGCAAGCAGTAGTCACACTTGGACTTAACATGGTCTAAGACTGGTGCAGAAGTAATGAGTTACATTTGGGTCTCAAAACATTTATTGTTGCATCAAAGCATGCCCAGTAGTTAAACCATACGAGCAGGATTTAATCACAGTTAAGAACAAGTGCCAATTCCAATTCGTAGAATAATTGAACAATAAAGCATACTAGCGGGAAAAAAAAAGTTACTTTAAGACAAGGCTATGTGGTTACTAACCTCCCACGGAGATTACACCCACGTGCCTCCTCCTGCTATTCATTTCAGGACCAAAGAACCAGTTGTTTTTGTTTATGGAGTAGCATTCGATGCTGCGAAATGGGTCACCTGATCCACCTCGACCACCAACACAGAACAACACACCTGAAGAAGTTAGAGAGGAAATACTAATTTCAAATCACCACAGAGTAAGTTTTCTTGTATGAACAGAACTAAGTTATTAAATCAGTTTCTCCTTCTTGGCTCCTATGTAATGCAACTAGCTGTCTGCATTTGGATCGATGACTTCATCTTTCATTGTCTATGCAGTTTTGGCAGGCAAATTAACTGTCAATATTGTTGCACAGACAATTAACTAGACTCCAAGAACTTAATTAGGGATTTTAGTTACATTAATTGCAATTTGACTGGGGAGAGAACAGTATCATTCAAAGTACAGTCTGTAAAAGACAACTGTGGCTTGTTTTCCTATACAGCTCAAAAAACAGTCAGCACTTAGTATTCCTCCTACAAGTATTAAGTTGAAAGTTTCAATTTGATCTAGGTAAATTGAAACCACTGAAGTATTACCGTGAACATTTTTTAGTAAAACTGGTAATACATATTAAGCACTGCAGTTATGTTTTTTCCTGAAACTATATATTAGTCATAACCAATCATTTAATCCATACCATCTAGCCCTACCAAGATGAGCTCCCTCCATCCCCTTCCATGCTCAATACTAGATAATCGGATCCCCATTTAATTACCTGCAGTTTGCTTCCTTGGTGTTGTGCGGATGGAATACTCGAAGTCTGGCACTGCCCTGCTGCTCAGGTGAAGGTGGTAGTTTTTCGCTTCATCCAGCAAATCCCTGCATTTTAGATTCTGTTTAACAATCTCTTCTTTTGCCACTACACCCATAAGGAAACAAATGGGCAACAAAGGCAGACGTACCTGATGGGAATGCACATAGTTCTGGATAATACGCTATACTGGTATTTTAATCCTTAGATTTCATGAGTTATGAACATAACACACCATACCCCCAAAGTAACGTATCAGTCAAAAAAACACCCTTCAAAGTGAATAGTTAAATTCACTTTATTTTTAAAACCTTTATTTTTTTGGGAAGGCTGAATAAGAAAATTTCTTTTCAGTTGGCAAAATTCTTCATATGTTTTGCTTTTAGGCAGGGCTTGGAAGATCCCCTGGCTTGTTTCAGAATATGTATGCAAATAGCACCTCACTTGTTAGCAATAAGGGTTCCTATTTCCAAAACCAAGTGATGCCTTAAAGCAGTGCTACTTACTTTCCTTATTTATCCAGTTGATATAGGCCACATCTATACTTTTGCTTGAAGAAGTGATGTTAGGTAAAAAATTCATTTACTTTTCTATACCAGAATAAGAATGCTTTTACTGGTATGACTTATTTTGCTTGGGAAACCAGTAAAGATTAGAGCTCTTTACTGCCAGCATAACACCACACTAGGAGGACTTTGAAAAAAAAACAGTACCTGCAAATCTTTTTGATTTCACACCTAGCAAGACAGAGCTATAAGTTCATGGACATAGAATTTACTGTGGTATAGTCTCCAGTTGCAAAGGGGTATAGAACAAGTAGGCCTACACTAGCGGAACATACACTACTCAAAGTAAGGAACAAATCCTTGGTGTCAGATTAGGAAAGGAGGCCAGAAAACGAATAGAAGTTATAGGACCAGAACTATTAATCCTAGTTAGCAGAAAAGACTAGACTAGGTTGAGACCTAATCCATACAGATGTGAGACTAGTATAACTGCACGGTGGTGGGAAAGTTGGTTGACATGTAACTTAAAGCATTATGGTGTCATTTTTCACCTGGCCTAATTTATTTCAGTTTTGAAACCAACAGGCATTGCATACTAAGGCTGTGCGAAGCTTCAGGTGGTGGTTTTATTTGGAGGAGATTCGACCTGATTCAGTGGCCAAGTCTCCGAATCCAAATCGAATCGAATAAGGGGATCCATTTAAAAGACCAAATCAATTCAAAGCTCTCCGAATCTTTGGCAAAGATTCAGAGCACTTTGATGATTCAGGCAGTCCCCGGTGGCTGCAGCAGGGAGCTACAGCCACT